ATTAAATATAATTATTTATTGTGTGTTGAAAACCCTATATGCTCACCAGACCCCCAAGCCTGACCCACTCAGTTTCTTTGTATTACAGAAAGTGGCGCAAGGGCATAAGATGGATGAATCATCAAGTTGTTTTGTTTACAAGTCTGTATATGTATATATTTGTTGAATGACTTGTAATGTTATCTTTTATGCTTTATGGTCTGTATCGGAACGTGACATCCCGATTTTTGATTATGAAATGAAATTATATTTCTTTATGAAATGTTTTGATAAAAATCTATTTTATCATGTTTTGTTTTTGGGAACAAATTCCGCATCTCTTTTAAAATTAAAAGGATTTACTCTGAAAATGTTTAAAAAACATAAATGAAACCGGTCTTTTCTGGCCGAGATTTTGGGGATGTCACACATATTGGGCCGATAACTTCCCCATTTGTCCTTGTTGGGCCGAAAACCCCTTTTCGGGTCCTAATGGGCTGAAGACTTCTATTGGGCTCGATATTGGGCCGAAAACCTTTTATTGAGCCTTTGTGGGCCGAAAACCACTATTGGGCCGAAAGTTTTTAATTGACTTTCCTTTGGGCCGAAAACTCCTCATTTGGACCAAAAACCCTTCATTAAATATTAGTGGGCCGAGAACCATTATTAGTCCAAGTCAACAAGCAAGCACCCCTATTTTGGGCCACAAATTGGGCTGGTTGGACTATTAAAAAAAACAAAGAAATAAGATTGGATAATGGACTTGCTGCCACAACATTTTCCAACATGTCTCCAAGTTCTTTAACCTTCATACATCAAGACACGTCCCATCATCTTTAGGAAGAGTCAACCGCTACTCCCCCCTCCTATCTCTTAATCGGCCGACCCCCTCCTCCCACTCTCATTTCAAACTTTGTTCTCAACTCATTTTCCTCTCAAACCTCCCATTGTTCTCTATTTTTTTTTCGAGTTCATCATCATCAAGAATTGGATTCTAAGCTTCTAGGTAAGTTCTATGCTAAACTCAAGTGTTTTGTTTCATATTTGTGCTTAGAACATTCCATTTACACACTTTGTTGTGTGTTAAACTCCTTAGAACACCCACATTTCAAGAATCTCTCCAAGACACAAGCTAGGCTCGAAAGTTTCTTCTTCTTCTTCTTCTTCCACATCTAAAAAATCCTCAAGGTGAGCTTCATACCCCACTATTTTCGAGTTTTTCATTCTTCCGGGGGGGGGGGGGGGGGATGTTATCACATATTTGGTTGTAAACACTTGATGGGTGGTAAAAATATGAGAGTTACACTCCAAATGGTTAATTTTGGACATATATATTTTTACCATTAATACTTGTGCAAATGTTGAAATATTATATATTTCAAGGATTTTATGAAATCTTATGGAAATTGTGACATGTTCTAGTCACAACAAAAATAGAGTATTTTTGTGTTACTAAACACTCAAACAAATTTTGGTGTGTTAAAACCATAAAACTTGAATATGTTACTAAAAAATATTTTTATTAGTAAAATAGTCGTAAAATGTTGTCATATGTTACTAGTTTGTATACTTAAAGGATTATACTATCTACACAATGTATACTACACTTGGATGAATTCATTAATGATTATTTATAAAAGCGTTATAAATAATTGAACTAAAACGGTATACAAACCAAAAGTTTTACGACAGAAAATTTCGCGTAAACCTGTTAAGGCACTTGTGAGACTCTCATTCGCCGTACCTATCTAGCATCATACACTGTAAGTTCTGTAGTTATAACTAGAGTCTAATGGAGGGAGAATGATGTAATTGTGTATAGATCTATACAGGGTTGACACCCTCACACCTGAGCTGTTCGGCACAGCTAGACTAGGCCAGTCTAGGGTGACAAATATCTTTCCGTAACCGACGCCTGAAGAACGCGTCATTACAGATATTTTAGTCGTATCAAACATGGTTGTAACGACTCACATAGGGATTAACAATGTTATTTTGGATTTACGAAATTATACACTTTGTCGGTTTTATAAAAAATATAAAAATAAGCATCACTCTCGTACTTTACTACTACGACTCCAGTATTAGGGCTTTAAGACTGCATTTTTTTATAAAATACGAGATATGAGATTTTCTGGGAACCCACACCCTTTACAATTACGAACAACAGAATACAAAGAAAACATATGCAATTATCCACAGTTTTAGAACAAGACTACAAACAAATTTTTTTTACAAGAAATATCGGATTTTCTGGAGTTTTACAAATTATTATAAATCAAAGTTGTTACAAAGCTTTTATACAAATATGCTTATGAAATCACCAACTTTTAAGTTGATGCTTTTCAAAACAACTTGTATTATCAGGAACTTAGTGAGCATGTATCACAGGCTAAGGATTTTGATAATTACTACATTGTTGGAATATCATATTTACTGTCACTTTTGTGTAAAGTTGTGAACAAATACAATTCTGTAAACAATGTATGTTGGTATCATTAATGTATGATGTTGATTGTTATGTTTTCAGTTATACTCAATTGTGATGATACAATACAATGAAGTCATCTGCTCCCGGACATTTCCGCCGTCCTAGTTTGGAGGTGTGACAAACCATCACTTCCTTTAAATTGGGCCTTAGATCATAAAAACTAGGGTTTTCCCATGCCCAGATGCCACGCCGTGACTAACATAATGTTACATCGTGACATCTAAATGAAATGCATGTCTCTTGTGATCCATGTCACATCGTGGTGATACCTCCCCCTCTAGGGATGAAACAAACATGTACCCGTCTATTTTAGATGGAATCGGAACCGCTCCTGGAACCGGCGATTCTTAAGTTGTTGGTATCGGAACCGGAACCTCCTATAGTGGTTCCTAGAAAGTTAGAATTGCTCCCAGAACCACCATGATCGGTTCTGATTCTGGGTACCTGACTTCTTAAATATATAGCTTCTTATGTATAAATTATAGAGTAAATGCCATGGATATTAACGTTTACAAACATAGAAGTAGAAGATATGAAAGTAAAAAAAATTATAAAAATTTGATCTTTTACATAACCACCTATTAAAATTTAAAAACACTTCCCACAATTAAAAAACATCATCCAAAACATTTCCCATCAAGTGAAATTTAACAAGTAGAGACGATAAAAGTAAAAAATTACAAGCAATAAACATAAAACAGTCACAGGAAAAAACAAGATAGCAAAAACAGCATATCAATAATCAAGAACAGCAGAAACAACAACAATCATTTCCTAGTAACAATTAAAAAAAATAAAAATAAAGCAGCATAGCAACAAGCAACAAACAGTACAGCAAAAACAGCACATCATCTACAGCAACAACTAAAAGAGCACAACAATAACAGCAACAGAAACAACAAAAACAGCAGCAAGCATCAACAGCAACAAGCAACAATGTCTGCTTGCTTTACCATTTGAACCTGAAATATTTTTAGTAGCAAAGTGAACATTGTTGTTAGGACATAGAAATGAAGTTCTGAAGAAACCAAATTGATGCTAAACAAAAAGAGCAACTGATCTTCATTATCTGGAGCTGATCTATTGGCTGCAACATCACGAACTCTGCTCAGAATAATTGGAAAATGGGTCTACTTGCGTTATCTTTTACCTCCTACACGTCAAATTGGTAACCATTACAAATTAACTAGCAGTAGCCATACCTTTTCTTGAATTCCTAATGACTGAAAAGCCTGCTTAGCAATCAGATAAAAACCAAATACAGCAAACTTGTACAACATGATAAAGGAAGTATTCAGTAAACAGAAGTAGAAAATAAATTTTGATGCTACTAGAAACATGAAGACAGCTTCCTGCATTTTGAATTTAGTCATAAAATCCTTGCAACTCTCTTTAAAAACAAACCGAGAAAAATAAAGCAATACATAACCAATATACACACACTGAATACATTGATATTAAATAACCTGGCCCATAAACAAGTTAAACAAAAGAGACAATGGTTCTTTTCTGTTTTCGATTGACTCCAAGCATCTTGAAAACAATGACAGTGTAAGCCATATATACTTAACACCATGAATTCATTTACATGCATACATAAAAATAATGTAAAAGGTCAAGACATTCCATAATCCATACCTTGATACGTTGTAGATAATCTAATGTTCCACGAATAAGTGATCTTCATGACTCCTCAAATACTTCACTTCCAGCAGTTAACACCAAACCAGTAGCACCACAATGTCCTTTTTTCCCTAACTACAGTACGTCACGATTAATACTTCATTGACCCATTCATCCTACTGCTATTGAATTAATTCACTAGATAATTAAACTAAATACTAAAATACTACTAAAAGAACAACCAATCACGATTAATACCCAGCAAACCCATGGGCTACAAGTTTTTGAAATAATTTGTGATTATCTTTGAAGTAGACATGGAGATGGTGTTTTTATTTTTATGGTCATATAGCAGATCACAATCTCACTTCAGAAGCATTGAAATTTGTTCCTCATCCATTTTATGATAATATTTCTTAAATGTGTAAGTAGGCATATAACTAATCCAAACCTTTAGTGTCTTTTTTTTTTTACAAGATCCATTCTCAATCCCGAAACCAAAATTATACAAGGGAAGCAACTGTGGTGCACAAGACGAAACATGTTTGCATATCTATTACAACCGAAACACCATACATATAACCTATTATTTTAGCATTTTACTTTCATTTCCTTGAAAAATATACCAATGTAATTTCATTTCCTTACCATGTAACAATACAAGATGAAACCGGTTCTTGTATCACACAGAACTGGTAAGTACACTAAACTGGAACCCTAATACCTTAAATATACACGATTGGTATGGTTTTTGATTCATTTTATAGGTTAAACAAAAAAAAGCAATGGTATCAACCTGTCTGCATGCCTATTAAGATTCATAATTATATTAAATTGTATATATTTTGTAAACATATTGATAGAAGGAAATTTTAAAAAAGAAATAGTAAAATACCTAATCTAACGACTAACGCCAATTAAGTTTGAACTCTAAACAAGGCACATGAGCCAGTCCCTGTGGAAAGCTTCTCCAAGAATTTGTTAGGGTTTCCCATTTTTCATCACCATGACGTCTTATTTCAACAAGTTGCAGGTAATCACGCCAATACCCCTTTCTGGTCTTCTTCTCCACCACCTCCCTTACCATTAACTGGCTAAAGTAGTTGTGCTTAGAATTTGAGTCTCCAAGTGCGACTACCTGCTTTGGATGACAAATCGTAAATAATGCATCAAAAAATGGCAAGCGCTGATCCCCCAAGCCTTTGTCTTCTCTAAAAGTTCTAAATGTCAGTTGTGGCACGTTTATAGCCGGAAATGTGACCCTTCTTGTTAGATCGTCGAGGTTGATGTCCGATGGTATTATGTCATCAAACTTTGTGATCAGTATTTGAATGTTGCACTTTCTTGAGAAAGTCAATGCTTCCCTCATCTTAAGAAAGAAAGATTCATCAATTATAAGGGGACGCATCAGGAACAGATCAAGATCCATTTCCTCGAGAATGGTGGCTTGAAACAAGAGACTAGGCATTGTAAAGCCACGGAAACGAAAAGAAATTAAATTTGGTGCATAAACCTTTATGTTGACTGGCTTAATGAATTGGTCTAGCTCTATGGATAATTTCTTAAGTGTAACACAAGTAAAATTGAAGCACTCCAACTTCCAAAAATCCAGATCAAGTCTCAAACTCTCGAGAAAAGGAAATTTCGATTGGATAATGTTCACAAAAGCATCGTCCACGATCATATGACCTAAGGATAATTCCGTAACACTTACTAGTGAATCCAGGTCGAAAGGAAGAGGCTTAGATATAAACGTAAACGAGCGAATGTATTGATTTCCAAAACAGTATTCATTGCTAATACATATTCGGAAACTATTGCTAATTCTCTAAGACAATGAAGGTTCTTAACCTTGATAGTCTCGAAACCCGTGCAAGAGAAAAGCTGTACCTTGACAGGCAAGCTACAAGTAGACAGTATGTCATTAAGTACCTGTTCACTTATGTGCACATCTTGCAACTTCAGTTCTCGAAGCGACAAACAGTTGATCACAGGATGACTAGCCATCCAAACAGAATCAATCATTGAACTGGAAACACTCATCTTAATTAGGTTTTTACCCGAGAGTATCTCATCTGGCAACGTAAGGGTGGCGTAGCTACGCCGGATTCCGAGGGAAAGCTCCTGAAGACAACTTTTGATTGCCATTGGCCGGATCCAATTTTCAGCAAAAGAGGCGGACTCCTGGTTCTCAATGTCGATAATAACGTCAATACTTTTGACTGGTATGTCGTCACGGAGATACCTTACGAGAGTGCGATCGACTAACTTAAACAGCTCTCTTTCTGGTTCTTTGTTAACTACAGACATATAGGCTTCACGAAACCTGAGGGTAGGGATGGTGGACCAAGCATGAAGCCATGACTTGGACAAGACGCTGGTGCGGGCGGCTTCTTTTATCGGCAATCGTGTTTGTATGCAGTGGAACAATTCCGGAATGTCTTCTAATCCTGGGCCGCTTTTCAACAGTTTCTCCATCTCTGGGTAACCACCACAAAAAAACAGCAAACCCTATTAATGTTTTATAGACGATTCGTAACAGCACGTCATCTTGTAGATCACAAGATTTTAATTTAAAAATAAATTAAAACCAAGATCTTACGATTTCCTAATTAATTGTATTGGCATATACTAGCATATATGTAGTTGTGATATACAAGATCCTTTCTATAATTTTGCATTCTTAATTAGTTTGCAGATATAGAAATTTAAAATGAAAATATTGGCAAATCCCTTTAGTTAAATTGACATTGATTTATAAGGAAACAAAACCCCACAAAATGAAACTGCGATCCAATATCCTCCAACCCATTTCTATTTTTTCCTTAAAATATAAATTAAAAAATTAGGTAAACAGTGTTTGATCTCCAACGATATGCTATTTTTTACTTTCAAAAAGTATATTCTTAGTATATTTTATTTTTTCAACTTATATAGATTGTCAATTAGACACATTCTACTAATTTGGTTATAACAAATATATAATCTATATTTTTTTTTATTACAATACTGTTAAATAAATAAGATTACATTTATAACAACTAATTATAAGCTTTTGTAAAATACGTTATCGTATTTTAAAATTTCAATATGTATTTAAATTTTCATATGAATTTGATAAACAAAAAATAAACTTTATATTTATAAATAATTAATATAATTTACTATATAATACAATATTATAAGTATTAAATAATACATTTAAATTATAATTAGTGTATAAAATAAACTAATAATATATAAATATATAAAATAATGACTAAAACTGATAACTTAAAGTTCATCCTTATTTTGGGAGAAATGAATAGTATAACACCATATACTATTCATTACCCTCAAAATGGAAAAATAAATGGGGTAGGGTTAGAGAGGCATTGATGAAGAAATGAGAGAAAAAATGAAAAATAGGAGTGGGTTGCAGATGCTTTTATTTTAATTGTCACGATCATTTTATTATATTTGGGTAAAAATAGGTGAAACTCCAGTAAAATTTATCAATCTTCTAAAAAGCATTGATCATGTACAAAATTCACTATTAATTCACGGCTAAAATTTGAGGCTTTACATTTCCACCATGTCCGTGTCATACTATTTATGACATTGAATTTTATAGATAAAATCATACCAACAGCTTGCTTGTTTGTTTGTTTTTTAAACGTGTTCCACATCCATTAATTATAAGCAAAGTGGCATTAAACTATCAAAGAATAGATCTACGTGAGAGACTATTTGAAAACTACGAAAACACGCAAGTTACTTAATGTGTACATTCCAAAATCCTCATTTTGTTGTCTCTTTAAAGCTCCCGTTTATGGCTTCCTAAAGAACAAAGCATAATGTCAGATGTTTTGAGTAAGCTACACAATATAGTAATGGTACCATGGAGCTTAGCTTCTTTATTATGAATTGATAGCCAAACGACTTTAAGAGAGAGCCTAAATGACTTCCAATACTGTTAGAACAAAATGGTATAACAAATGCAATATAAGTTAAATAAAAACTATCACATTATATTGCATCAAGGATGACAAGTTCATGACTAGAACCAACAAAAATTGAAACCCTATAGAGAGGGTCAAATTGTATACCTTTCTTTGTGTTAAATGATTCCTTGTTTTTTCTTGAATGATCTAAAGCACAAACTAAAAATCTGTTAATGTAATCACACACCATGACAATGATCAAGCAAAATACAACTCTTCTTTTTCTTGATGCCAAAATCAAGCCTACAAATACTATATTCCATAAAAAAAATATAAGTTTCCAGAAACTACCTAGTTGATCATGACAATCCAAGCATATAGAATATAGATATGGATGTGTTACAACTTAAAAATACTGAGTAAAAATTTCATTTTAAATAAGTCAAAACCATTCATTCATTATCCCAAAAGATGGTCATAATAAAAGTATTCTCAAATCATCAGAGAAAAACCATAAATAGACAATGCGGAATAAATCTCCAGCAGATGGAGTGTGGTCAAGTCGGGCCCTTCCTTTTGAAACTAGTAGTTCCTGAAAACCTTTTAAACATAAAATGTAAACACAAAACTTAGTGAGTTCCTCACAATACCATATAACAAACATACATAACAACTTGAAACTAAATTGGGTCTATTTCACTCCCTTCGGTATCTTTCAACTGGTATTGGGTCTATTTCACCCCCTTTGGTATCTTTTAATATTTCACCCCTTTGCTATCTTTCAACCAATACTTGGTGTATTTCACTCCCTTCGATATCTTTCAACCGGTATTAGGTCTATTTCACCCCTATAGCTAAGCATAGAATTATATTAGCAAGATTCACAAAGATAACAAGCACATAAAGGCATATCGGCAAGTATCACAAAGACAACTATCATCCTAAAAATGTAATCCAGTGTGTCAGTATTGGTGCCTTCGACCCATGAGTATAGTAAGGAGACACCTCTCAGACGATAATCAATTGATGTTGCTCTCACTACCGACGATACAACTATTTCTACATTCCTAGATAGTCATACAAGGTAAACCCTTAGTCTACCTTCCAAAGCTAAGGGTTGGCCAAAAGTTACCTCAAGTTAAAGTCAAACTCAAACTCAGTTGACCTCCACATCATGGCCAACCTTGGCCATGTTGTGACCCATAGGTCTAAACTCGAGCCAAAACCAAGTCAAAGAAGTCAACAAGCTGTGACACCCAAAAATTCAAACCAATTAAATTTTTTTAAAACATTTCAAACCATTAAAAACCATTACAAATTTGTTTTCAAATGTATAATATCAGAGTTTTTCCCAGAGACATAGATAAAACATGAGGAGCTGTACGATCACGCCATTGCCTTGCCGCGATCCCCTGATGTACCTGAAACAATAAACTGAAACTGTAAGCCGAGAGCTTAGTGAATTCCCCCAAAATACCAACCTCATAAAACCATACTCATAACATAACAGCAAATACAAAACAACATGCATGATGAGCCTTCAGCCTAACTGGACCGCCTCACAGGCCTTCAGTCTATCTGGGCCACTCTCCGAGCCTTCGGCACGTCTGGACCGCCTCGCCAGGCCTTCAGCCTATCCGAACCACCTCGTCGGGCCTTCATTCTGACTAACATACCCTTCGGGGTCTGTAGTCTATCCGGACCGTCCTGTGTATGTTGGCCTTCGGCACAAAACTGAACTGCCTCAACCCAACCCCCAATCAACAAACATGTGCACATACATATCATACGCTAACATATATAACAGTCAACCGATCTAACAGATCAAATAGCATAGCAACATCCTATAACCAGGATACTGACCTAACCGTTCACTAACATATCATCATCCTATATTCTAGGATATCGACCTAACCAGGTCACTAAGCATATCACCATCCTAACTACCAGGATGTAAATCAATAAGCATAACACGCAATAAACCCAGATACCAATCCAAATAAGGGCCGACATCGGTGCCTTAGACCTTGTTGATATAGTGAGGAGAATTTACCTCGCAACTAATGTCTGAAATTAGAAAGCTTCAACTCCCGGATCACCAACACAAACTTCACTACCTATAGATACCATAAAATCCTCTTTCTTAAATCTCTAAATTACCAGAATACCCTCAGAAGTCACTGGTCAACTCATGGTCAAAATGAAAGTCCACAGTCAAAGTCAACAGTCCATGTTGACTCAACTCGTCGAGTGCAGTTCACCTACTTCTCGAGTCCTTCCTGAACTCGAGAAGTCGTGAAATCCTTGATTGGCTCGTCGAGTTCTCCTTTAACTCGCCGAGTTCATACGTGTCCAAGAATTCGGAGAACCCTAGTCGACTCGCCGGGTTCAAGGCAAACTTCAACAGACTTGGCGAGTTGTTCATCCAACTCGTCGAGTTCATGGCCATCTTCATCGGGCTCGCCGAGTTGTTCATCCAACTCGCTGAGTCCTCGCAGACCTTCATCCATGCAGACGCTTTTTAAGCCATGACAATGCTACAGATTACAGATCTAAGCTTCTAAGGTATGCTTATCACGTAAAGTTGCAAACTTTACGCACATGCAAGGTTCTAAAGGCCCTAAATGGCCAATCTATGCTTCCAATGGAGCTTTACACCTTGGGAGAGTCTCATTCTTGCACAAGCTGGAAACTTTATGTACTAAGAAGCCCAAAGGAGCTTAATTCTGAAGTTACAACTTCAGATCTGAGATTGCAAAGAAGAATAGCTTCCAATCATACTATGAAAACCCTAGAATTTGACCAAATAGGGGATCTAGAATGAATGAGGTTAGGGTAACGATTTATACCTTCCAGAAGATGCTAAATACAATAGATCTCAGGTCCTTCAAGCTCCTTGCTTCTTAATGCTTGATCTCCAAGCTCTTTTCTCCAAGAAAATCCTCTTCCAAGCTTAAGAATGCACAAAATGAGCACACACACACACACACACGATTAGGGCATTAGAGGGACAAGAAGCAGTGAAGGGGAGGCTAGGGAAGGCAAATGATCCTTTAAATAGGGTGAAATACCCCGGAATTTAGGGTTTCATCTGCCACCTCCTACTTGTCGAGTCCCTTTATGGACTCGGCGAGTAGACCACTAAATGTGCGATCCCACCTCGCTGCTACTCGACGAGTAGGGCAACCAACTCGTCGAGTAGATCTTTCAACCAAAAAGATTTCATTTAATTCCATACCTGATAATCGGGGCGTTATAATTCTCCCCCACTTGAACTAGACTTCGTCCTCGAAGTCTGCTACAACGGGTAATGCTCGCGCATCTCCATCCCCGGCTCCCATGTCCATTCGGACCCCCTCCGATGCTCCAATTGCAACTTCACCAAAGGTATTTCTTTGTTCTGCAAAATCTTATTCTTCTTCTTTAAAATGGCCACAGGCGTCTCTCCACGTAATTCAGGTGCTAATCGAACAGAACATCATCCAACGATACTACCGCCTCTTGATCCATGATGCACTTTCGTAGCTGCGAAACATGGAAAGTGTTGTGGATCCG